ATCTCACCAGCCCCCAAAGATATTATTTTTGACAGTAAAGTCTGTGTTACCCTATACTGAATGGCTGGCTAGGCTTTTAAGAAACCGCACTTCAGGGAGTTCCTAAAGTTATAAAAGTAGAGAAAAGGACGGACCAGAGACACAGTAGGAAAAATTAGATGGTGTTGAGATAGTAACCAAAGCAGAAGATCATTTCTAAAAATAGTTTGGTTGGTTGGTGTGAAATGGCATACAAAGTCAAGGAGCAAGAAAAGGACAATGTATTATTCAATTCTATCACTGAAAGCTCACAAAGGTTTGCCATTACTGCTCTATAGAATGAAGACTAAAGTAAATAATCAAAGGTTTAGAAGTCGATAGTTCATGTGGCAGTGAAAGAGTAATGACTGGTTGGTTTGGTGATGGAGGGGGAGGAAGAAAGAAAGTGATGGGAAGGGAGAAAGCAGGAGAAAACTGTAAGTTAAAAAGAGGAGATAAGAGAGAAAACAGGACCTATTATGATTGACAAACTTATCCCCTTTTAGGAAAAGGAGAAATAAGACTGTTTCTACATAATGAGAAATATATCAGCAGAGAAAATCACATTATACAAAATGCCTGAAGTACACATGATGGTGTGAAATGTAGAATAAGGAGCACTCTTCCTCAGACTTAAGCGCAGTGGAAGAAAGGGAAGATTGTTGAGTGTAGAGAGAAGAGAAAAATATCCTGCAACAGCCTCAGTCTTGGGGGATTAGATGTCCCTCTGGGGAAAACCGGAAGTAGCTGGGGGATACTGCATGTGATAGGGAACAACGAGATGAAGCAATGGGCTACTGAGGATAGCTGAGGACATATGATCTAGTACACAGTAGACACCACCAGAGCGATTCTGTCACTTTCTTTTTTCTTTCTGAGACAGGGTAACAACTGAAGGCCAGGTGGGACTATATAGCATGACCCTGTCTCCAAAAAAAAAAAAAAAAAAAAAAAATCTAAAATTCGAATTATTTTTCTTAGTGATATGTCACAAATTTATTAAGGAAAAACCACGAAAGAACCACATTTATCATTTTTGGAGCCCAAGGGGTCGTATACGAAAGTTATTCTTGAATTTATAAAAATATTCAGTTGAAATACTTGAGAGTATCCCATGAGAAAACATCTAAACATGTACTTTTGTGTAAAAACAACAATACCGAAGTCATAAATGTGGGCTACAGCTCTCCCAATAGCATTTTTTTCCTATGTCTAAGTTGAGATACCTTTTTATTTTGGACCAGGAGACTTCACATGGTGCTATATTCCCAGCATTTATTTTTCTTCTTTGTACTGGTATTAAACTCGGGTCCTCATGCTTGCCAAGCAGGTGCTGTGCCAGAGCTAACTCCCCAGTCCTCCAGCCTTTATTTGTTAAACTTATTATGAGACAGACTCTTTAACACAGGCTATCTTGAACATCCTCCTGCCTCAGCTCCAAGAAGCCTGCAATCAGAGGTCTGAACCACCAAATTTAGCTTAAACTAAAGACCTTTAAAAACTTTTTCGGTGGCTGTAAGGCAATTTCTCTTGATATAAGAGAAATGTGAAATAGAATAACCTAAGATTTAAAATTATCACGCACTGGGATTTTTAAAAAAGGAATTTTCCATATTTTGGGAATAAAATGTAGGGAAGACCATAAGCAACAAGTGAAGTTTGATGAACCAAAGCTTCCACAGGATACAATAAAAGTAAGAAAACATTATCTGATAAAGAAGTAGGCAGATACTTAACAGTACAGAAGCCGTTGGAATAATGATCTTTCACATAGGCTCTTAAAGCACTGTCACAGGATTCTCTCCAAGACTTCAAACTTCCATCTATTTCCTCCGGATGGGGGTCACTTGCTTCTTTCCGTAAGTGATCAAACTTAAAGGAAATTTTGTTTCTTGGATCTAAAAATCTGCTATTACCCAGATCACCATGCTCTGTAATTAAGACCTTTCAGAGAAGGATTAAAAACATGAATAGCTGTAAAAGAGCTCTTAGCACATTTTACAAAACAAGTAACAAAGAAACTCTATAGACAATGTTTCGTTTAGTCAAATTTTTCTTTCATACTGATTTTTCAATGAGGTCTACTTTCTATTTTTATAAAATTTTCACAAGTTCTAATTATTTCAAATATAATACATTTATAAATTATATTATTTTTAATAAATTTTTATTTTATTTTTTGGCAGAATTAGGGATTGAACTCAGGCCTTTGCGCTTGCCAGGGAAGTACTTATTCCACTGAGCCATCTCCCTGGCCCCTAAACTTTTATAAAAAAGTCAGATAAGGGTCACTTGCTCTATGTATATCTTTGTATTCTTTTTTTCACATTACTATACAAAACTGTTCCAGTGTTATTATATTGAACATTTAAAATAGCTAATATGGGGCTAGCCAGATAGCTCAGCAGCTGGGGTTCGATCCCCAGTATGCCCTGCCAGCCCCACCCCAGGGCACGCTGAGAAGGTGATTGAGACTGGGTGTGGTGGTGTGTACATGTAATCCCCGTGCTTGGGAGGCTGAAAAGAGGAGGATCACTATAAGTCTGATCTGTGTAGTGAGACCCTGTACAAAAAAAAAAAAAAAAAAGTTTAAAATAGCTAATATAACTACATGGTTCAAAAATTAAAAAAGGCTGTGGGAGAGGGCCTGCCTAGTAGGAGCAAGGCCCTGTATTTGTTGTTTTTTGTTTTTGTATTTTTTAATAAGGGTATACAGGGTCTCACTACCTAGATCAGACTCATAGTGATCCACCTGTGTTCATCCTCTCAAAAAGCTGGGATTACAGGTGCACGCCACCAAAGCATGCTGAGGATCGAGTCCTGGCCACTGCACTCTGCCTAAGCAGGCGCTTTAATCCACTGAACTATTTGGCAGGCCCTCAAGGCCCTCCCTGTATTTGATCTGTAGCACAACAGCAGCAAATAAATAAAGTAAAATCTCTTTGCTATCCCTACTTCCAAGCAGCAAATTCTTCTTGGTTTTGTTTAAGTCAGGGTCTCAATATGAAGTCCACGCTGGCCTCCATTTTTTTTTTTTTTTTGAGGAACCAGGGATTGAACTCAGGCCCTTGTGCTTGTCAGGGAAGCACTTATTCCACTGAGCCATCCCCCGGCTCCCTGGCCTTCACTTTTGTTTGACCCTCCTGCCTCCATTTCCCAGTGCTGGAATTACAGGTATGCACCACCTGCCTGACTCAACAAATAGACTCTTAAAATAAATAACTTATAATAGCCTAGATTTTATTTTTTGGTTTTTTTTGTGTGTGTGTTTGGCAGAACCAGGGATTGAACTCAGGCCCTTGCATTTGCCAGGCAAGTGCTTATTCCACTGAGCCATCTCCCTGGCCCCCTACCCTAAATTTTAGTAGGAATGTTTTTTGTTTTTGCATTAACTTTAATTTCTCCTATTATTCTTTTTTTTTTTTTGGAACAGGGGATTGAATTCAGGCCCTTGCGCTTATTCTACTGAGCCACCTCCCCGGCCCCTTCTATTATTCTTAGCAAGCAGAATCAGAGGTAGCTGGAAAACTTCTAAGACTTTTAAAAAAACTTTTCTTTGGTAGTCAGTTCTCCTTTTTGTCAAAAGGAATTACTATTATTATCAGAAAGAAGGGGCCGGAGAGATGGCTCAGAGTAAGCGCTTGGTTAGCAAGCACAAGGGCCCGAGTTCAATCCCTGGTTCTGAAAAAAAAAAAAAAAAAAAAAGTAAGAATTTCCTAATATGCAAAATATTTACAAAAGTATGAATACTAAGACATGAATTTATTCAGCATCTGACTTACAGATTTGCTTTAGTTTCTAGATCTATACTATCTGCCAAACATGTGTTACCTAACAGGCAATTATTACCTGATCTTCATAGCCTTCTATCTTCACAGGTGTGAACTGATCCATGTTATACTGGGCAAATGCACTGTTTAAAAAAATAATAAAAATAAATAGTTTCTTTATTTTACCATCTACTCAAGCCAGAAACTTGAGTCATCCTTGTCCTCTACAAGTTCTGCCACGATTCTGCCAAGATTCTCAATGCTCCTGTCACCTGCTCCTGAGAGTTGGCTATATTTCTGGTGAGGACTATTACCAGCACCTCAAGCTTCTTGGGGCTGAGCACAGGAATGGACACTGTCACTGCCTGATGCTAGGTGCCTCCAGCATCAGACTGCCACATGGTACAGTAATCGCAGGCAGCAACCCCAGGCTATGTTGGACAGATTCTCACCTGCCCCAGACTGGAGCTCTGCACTCTCTGGGACAAGAAGGTTATAACCAGGTCTGAGCCCTGAGGGTGACATCTGAAGCCCAAGGGTCTATCACATGTGTTGTGAGTTACCTATGTGGCTGTGTCCATTTGGAGGCCAGGGCTGCCTCCTTGCTCTCGTTTCCTCTTCCAGAATCCTCACTTTCTTAGATTCTGCATATATATGCACATTCTTGCATCTTAGGGATGGAGAAGGCAGTTAAGCATAGAGCTCGGCCCTGGTATGTGGGATAAAGACTGGGAGCTCCAAGCTCAAGGGTCACATCCAGAAGGTTATTTACAAGGCTATTGCCTTCAATCCCCGGTTCTGCCAAAAACAAAACAAAACAAAACAAAAAACAAACCAAGGCTATTGCCTTCTTAGTAGGGAACCAGCCCAACATGAAAGCTGCTGCCTTGAGGTGAAGCCCACTCAGGTGGAGTCCAACTGTGCCTAAACAGTCAGGCTCACCCATATGTCCATCTGGAATGGACCTGTCCCGACTGCTAGTGTAGGAAAACAAGCAGATGACAGTCCTAGGAAAGGCCTCTGGAAGCCAGGAAAAACCTGCACCAGAACCCAGGCCTTCTACTTACTTGACTGGAATCTTGGCTTCCAAAACTATGAGGAATAAATGTAATTGTTTATACTGCCCAGTACCTTGCTGTTTTTTACAGCTACCTGAGCAGACCAAGCTGTAAACTGCATCAGCCTTCTGGAGAACCACCTAAGAAAGTCTAACAATAACACAGCATGTGTCATCCTTGACTTTTTCCATTACAGGCTTTTTTTCCTTTTTACTTCCAGTTTTTACTCTCCAAATTGCCCAACTGGGCTCAAATTTGTGATACTCCTGCTTCAGCCATCCAGTGCTAGGATTATACACTGGGCTACTAAGCCTGGCTCCTATCAGAATTTTTTTTGCTTTGAAATGTGGTCTCATTATGTAGTTTAGGATGATCTTGAACTCACTAAATAGACCATGCTGGCCTTGAACTTTCCATGAACCTTTTTCCTCTACTTCCCAAGTACTGGAATTATAGGTGTGTGACACTATGCTTGACTCCTATCAGTAAATCTTTTTTTTTTTTTTTGTGGAACTGGGGATTGAACTCAGGCCCTTGCGCTTGCCAGGGAAGCGCTTATTCCACTAAGTCATCTCCCCAGCCCCTAGTAAATCTTTCTTAAATCAGACTTTATTGGTACTTTTTAGATATTACCAGTACATCTTATAAGTTTCATATGAGTGTATATTGAGAATGTTACTTTCCTTCCTCCCATCACTTGCACTCTGGTCCAAACCAATACCAACTAACCTTGAGCTACCCTACTGGTCTCCAAGTATTATTCATCTTCAACCTCTGCACCCCTTAAAATGATCAGAATAATCATAACTAGTGGTTATTCTAAAATCTAAGTCTTATATTATTTGTACTGTCTTACTGTATTCATAATTAAATTCATTCAACATACCCAACAACACGCTACTTATACCAGAAGTGCTGAGAATTACCACAAATAGTTTTTTGTTTTTTTTTTTTCCCACAAATAGTTTTGGCAGTCAGAAACACGAAAGTGGAAACTCAGGACAGTCCTAGGTACATCCGGCTTCCTTTACACTTCATATAGAAGACAGTATTTGACGATTACGAGAACAGCATCTACTGAGCACTAACTATGAAGATGATGGCCAAGACACTGAAGCATCTCATTATAGGATTTACATTTTTTTTTTCCTCCCCTACCCTAGAATTTAAATTTTTTATCCTTATAGGAAAAGCATTTGGGTTCAGCATTTGTCTAAAGACAAATTTTTAGACTTTGCCAAAATGTGAGAGTCTATAGTATAGGATATATATAAAGCTTTAGCATCAGTACAATTGAAACATCTGAAGTATAACCCAATTTCCACTCAGACTTAATTAGAAATAGGACAACAGGCTTAAGCTGTAAATACCCAAGTGGCGTTCTATCCCCAAAGTACTTCAGCTATACTGTGTCAAAATCATAAAGTAAATTTATTTTGGATAGCTCTCAAGGGTAGAACTAGAACCAATATGGCAGGGAAAGTAAAGAACTTGTTTTGTAAGATGGGGAATTTCTTATTACCAGAAGGACTCAGCTTGGATAATCATCTGTTAACAGAAGTAGATGAGGTTTAGTGAAAGAGCAGAGGGTTGCTCTTTTTTTTTTTTGTGGAATCGGGGATTGAACTCAGGACCCTGCGCTTGCCAGGTAAGCGCTTACTCTATTGAATTATCTCCCTGGTGACTTCTTTTTGTTTTTGAGACAGACCTCACTGTGTTGTTCAGGCTGGCTTGGAACTCTCAACTCTTCTGCCTCCACTTCCCAAATAGCTGGGATTACAGACATGTACTGCTGCAACCTGCCTCACGAATATCCTTTTCTTTTTTTCTTTTTTTTTGCGGAACCGGGGATTGAACTCAGAACCTTGCGTTTGCCAGTCAAGTGCTTATCCTACTGAGCCATCTCCCCAGCCCCATGAATATCCTTTTCAATAGCACATTTTATGCATCTAAGAGAAAAATCAGCAGTGGAGTTTTATCTTTAATGTGTGCCTTAGTTTCTCAATAATGTGAACTAAGTATTTAATTCATGATTACAATTACAGTGGTGGTGTGTAAAACCTAGGTTGCAGATTCTAGATTCTAGTCCCAAAACAAATTTCATGGTTAGGGCAGGACATAAATGTCTACTGGGCAGCAGCGTTTAATTTTTTTTTTTTTTTTTTTTTTTTTTGGCGGAACCAGGGATTAAACTCAGGCCCTTGTGCTTGGCAAGCAAGCACTTAACTCTACTGAGCCATCTCCCCAGCCCCTAATAGTTTTCCAGAGCCAAAATCTAAACAAGGTACGTATCATACCAAAATGGACTTTATGATAATTATTACTATGCATCAAAATGATCTTGTCCTTCCTTTCCTACCACTGCCTAGGCACTAATTCTGGTTTTCTCTTAACAAATGAATTCTGGCTCACTCAGGTAGCCAGTATCTGGCCTGAAGTTTTTTTTTTGGTGGAACCGGGGGATTGAACTCAGGCCCTTGTGCTTGCCAGAGAAGC